GGGGTCATCTTGATTTCCCCCACTATAAAAGGAATGAGTAATCTCTAAGTAGGTGGTCTTAGCAATTTGCTTTGTATATTAAAAATCTGCAGAGAAATAAATTATATAACACACACATAAAACATCCCTTTAACATTTCATGACACTATTAAATAACCGTCATCAGTGATAAGGCACAAAAGAGGTCCTCTCAGAGCATTTAATTTATACAAGCCTTATCAGACTTCATGCAAGCACTAAGCCTGAAAAAGTTAGAGGATTTTTTAAAAAAATAAAGTATAGTTGACCCTTGAACAGCGTGGGAGTTAGAGGTGCTAACCCCCAGTGTAGCTGAAAATCTGTGTATAACTTTTGACTCCCCCAAACTTAACTACTAATAGTCTACTGTTGACAGTAAACATAAATAGTCGATTAACACAAAACTTTTATATGCATTATATACTATATTCTTATAATAAAGTAAGCTAGGGAAAAGAAAATGTTTTTAAAAAATTATAAGGAAGAAAAGATATGTATATGTATTTTATGCATTTGTGACATACCTAACTTAAATTTTTTGATGTTTCTAGGCTATGTGGCTCATCTGCGAGTTTTTCAAATTGTCACAAATCTCCAAAAAATTTTCTAATAGATTTATTGAAAAAAAAATCTACATAGAACTGGACCCATGAGGTTCAAGCCCGTGTTGCTCAAGGGTCATCTGTACACTTGCAGGGATGTAGCTAAAGGAATTGACATGACGGGTCTCAAGACATAGGACCTTTTGTTTATAGACAGTATCAGCTATCATGGCAGGGAAAAAATGGCTCTGGTCCAACAAATGGATAGAAAAGTGGCAGTGAGGCAACATGAACTCACGATCTGCTCACCAGATAAAGTGAACAAGTAATGAAAAATGCATCAATAAGCTCACACACACTTTATGTACATCTGCTTCCTTGCCTTCAGGAGATACTATCATGAGTTCATGTGGGATTTGCACAAGTATACTTATGACTTCAGTCTCTTCTGTGACTGTACTGGTTGGCAATCTTACCATTTACCACCAATATTCAGAAAGATAGCAGGGCTTAGTATTTGTAATGTTACATACCCATGGTCACAGTTACCCTGGTAATAGCTCCAAACAGAAGAATGGAGGTTGTTTCACTGGCGGTAGAGACAATAAAGCAGGAAAAGAAGCCCCTTTTTTTTCCTCCTTCCCCAGTATTTAGTTTCCTGGGATGATAGCTTTTTGGGAGTTATTCTTTCTTTCCTTTGGAAGGGTATGACACAATTTATCCTGGAACTATAAAATAATGGCCTATTGATTTCAGAGAGAGAAAAAGCTAAACTAGATACCAGATCTCAATATCTGTGAAGAATTCAGCCTGCAAGAGCCAGTGCTATTCTAGTGACTCTACCTGGGACCCCTGAGGCATGAATGGACAGGCGTGCAGACAGGGCTCTTTGGAAGGGGATTCGGTTTTTCCCTCCTCAATAACACTCAATAAACCACAACCTAACATCACTGTGCAATTAGTCATCAGGGGACTTCGGTTACTGAAAGTGCCAAGGGAGAAGCTGTAAAGTATTTCCTAACTCAGACCCCATCCCCCGGTTCCCTCTGGTGTTAATTATTCAGCCTCAGAACTGGGACGGTGACACATTTCTTTCCCAAGTACATAGGCCAAGCATGCAGCTTGCAGTAATGCTGGGTCTGGGTCAGCATAGGCGGGAAGGAGGCAGAGGGCACCTATAGTCCCTGATAAGGCATCGTTCTAGGCAGAAAAGGGCATCAGCCCTGAAGCCAGGGCAAGAGGCCCACATGGGCAACCTCGAGCAACAGCCAACAACAAGCCGCAGGCCAAATGCCCATTCCCTCATCAAAAGGCCCAGAATCTTCAGGAAGCCATCAATGCATCATTAAAAAGGAGATGCAATTGTCACCACTCTTTCCTTTCTGCAGGACAGGCTTGGGGCCCTCTGGTGCGCTGGGTCCTGAAGCTCCCAGCAGTCTCACAGGCACACTGCCTGTGCCCAGAGAGGGCCAGGCCCAGGTTTAAAGGAAGCTCTCAGAGGGAACACACTTTATAAAACACTACTCCACAGAACAGAAAGGTGACTTGTTTTTTCTGCAATTGAAGGCAAACAGATTGTAAAAGATTGTGAAAACATAAAGAAACCAGGTAAATGTTGAATAGAAATACAATCATCCTTCTAAGAGGAAAACCAGGATTGCCCTTCACTAGGAAGACCTTATGATTAAAAAGCCGTAAGGAAAGCAGCTCTCCTCATCTGCCTTAGATCTGTAACTGCTCTTTGGTGGCTCAATGTGTGCACATGTTTATCTGACTCCATCAAGACCTGAAAGAACAGAGGGAGCACATTTCAGGGAGGGCGGGGGNTAAGTAGAGGCGAAGTTTGTGCCTACCGTCTTAACCGGTTTGGAAGCCTGAAATGACATCCTGAGACAGGGCATATCTGTCCTGAGCACTGGGCCACGCATCCTCTCCTCAGGGGAGGGAGGTGACATATACGTAATGCCAAAACACCACCAAACACACCAAGTCCGCCTTGTACTGCATGTGTGTGCACAATCTTCCCCCTAACAGGAAAGAAACTTCTGAAATTAAAAAAAATGTGTTTCAGCCATCATTATATTGCAGAGGATGCACTAAAGGCAACGGACCTGGGATTCATTCACAGCTAATGGGGGACACTGCACCTGGCAGGCAGTCCCCACACCAGAACAGCGAAGGCTGGGTGGGATAAAGCTCTTTTCTAACTTTGGTAAAAGGCATCCAGTTCTGGAGCCCTGAAGCAAACAACAAGCTCCAGAATACACGTCGTCTTCAACATGACTCTGCCAATTCCCCATCAAAAGGCGGAAGGCTCCTTTGAGCAGCCTATTTAGAGGCTAAGGGCTGCCGTGGATAGTTTTCATCAGGATGCAAACATGAGAGAGGCCAGGCCTCTGGAAGCAGCTAAGCGTTCCACTGATACGTTCCAGATCAGAAAACTTCCTGCGAGGGACCCGGGACATGGTGGCCAACAGTTGGCCCTTCCTCAAGGCAGGTCTCAATATAGGAGACAGAGGGCTTAGGTCGAACCTCTGCTCAGTCTGATCACTTTAGAACCCTTCTGGTCTAAGGATGCCTGGCCTCTGGATGGGTGGCCAAGGTGACAGCGGGGCTGCTGTAATCCTGGACAGACCTAGTTATTCCAATGTGACCACCTCCTAGGACTGATACTGGCACTTGACTTGGCCCTGGTCTCAGTTCTCCACAAGTCTCTACATGTAGATGCTGTTTGAGTTATTAAAAAAAAAAAGCAAAGCACCCCTTCCCCTCCATTTTCCTTATTTGCTCTGTGGCTGCCCTGCTCTCCTACCATCATACCAGCTCTGTTCCTCCCTCAGCTGTTTTAGATTAAATTATAATCTGGTTCTAGGACATTTTGTAAGACATTCTGCCTGAAATCTAACACGGGGGAAAAAAGAATAAACGAGATGTCACAAGTCTGAAAAGAATTCAACATTTTAAAGTCAGAACACATCTGAGGGTTGCCTTTCTTATTCCCAAAGTAGCTCCCATGGTCTACAAAGCTGCAAAGGTGAGTGGCTATTTTGTTAGTTTGCTTGTTTTTGAGCTCAGGAGAGAAACTCCCAGGGCCCTCTGAGAGTTGGAAGCACTCTGGATTCTCCCTTGTAGCTGCTATCCCTCCTCCCACCCTCCCTTTCCCCCTCAGCTGCGGCCACAGTCTCTGAGCTGCATCTCCACCCAGGGCAGCATCACTGAGGGACCCAGAGAGGCAGCCCTCTTTCACTGATACCAGACAGTTCTTGTGTGCAGCAGACTACCAAAGAATCAAGGAAGTGGCTAGCATATATAAAGGAATATAGGAAGCAAAAGTCTGTCACTGACTTAGCAGACCACGTGAATAGAATACATAGTTTTAAAAATTATACATACTTTTAAAATGAAGATTATAAACTTGTAGCAGTTTAGAAAAGGTGATACGCTACAGGTCTACTATAACCACAATTGCACAACAATTTACAGATTCGGTAAGAAGCAGGGTGAAATCAACAGGGCCATCGCTCAAACATGACAACCCAAGCGAGGCCGGAGAGACGTGTGACAATACCAAATGGAACTTTCATTATGCTAGGAGCTGTTATCACCACCAATATTACCCCCAGAGGAATTATAAAGCAAAGGGGCACAGGGGGCCCCTGGCGGCCGGTGGTGAGTGCAGGGGGTCGGGTGGCACGTCTGTGTTGGTGGGAGGGAGTCAGTGCCCACTGCACGGTGCAAGCGTCAGCGAGAACTCATGCAGGGAGGTCTGTGCTGAAATACTAGCCTGTATTCCTAATGTCCATGCAGAATGTTCCATTTTTGTACTGTACATGGTAAAATATATTTATACATTTATATGCCTAATGCATTTTATGCAAAGAAAAGAGTTTTCATATATCACTTTGGAGAAGTATGCATATGCTGTGCTAATCAGAGCATCATTATACCAGTTTCATATGTACCAAAGGTGTTCCCAACCAGTCCGCCGCCTATCCAAGGTAACTAGTATAATCACACTGTCCAGGTTCAACAGAAAGCACCTACCTATACAGCACCATAACTTTTTGAAAACAAAACAAAATGAAATCCATAGAAGCAGGAAAGTGGGGGGAAAAGTCAAAACTGCTCTTGTACTGGTACTTCCATTGTGTCACTTGTATAATTACAATCTAAGATTTTATATATATATATATATATATATATATATATATATATATATATATATATCAGTTTGTATGCTATTGCCTTTCACTCATACATGTCTAGTAGATCAGATTATACACAGCAAGGCTGAAAATAATCAAGGGTGTGTATTCAGGAAAACAGTGAAGTGAGAACTCCCTCTATACTGACTTGGGTTTGTACTTTTCACACATTTTTCACTGCAGGCTTAATGCTCACCAGCAAATTCATTTCTTCTGCAAAGCAAAACAGGACTACTTTTTTTTTTCTTTTCTCCTTAAAACTAAATCCTTTAGTGGCATTTGGCAATTAGTGGACAGCTGAGCTGATTTCTTTCTTGAAAAGATCCTAATTTCTAACCAACATAGCATCACTGTTCATGGCATGAGCTGAGGATACTGACAGGAGACCACAGACCCCACTGACCTGGCACCTGCAGACCAGGTGCAGGGGTCTTGTCCCCCAACCACCGTGACTCAGCACGGAAACACACTGGGCTGGTCGGGGCACGGGCCACTCGTTCTGCCTATGCAGGGTTCAGCCCTGGACTGGTGCACAGAGAGAACAGTTGTGCCATTGTTTGGTTTTTAGAAAAGGATAGTTTTCTATCAAACAAAAGAAGAAAGAAAATCCCCCTCTAGTTTATGTAATTTGTTAGTTTATGGAGTTCCACGGGCTCAAATGCTTGTGATGCCCAAAGCCAGAATGGTAACTGGTACATTTCCTTCTGTTTTTAAATTGCCAGGGAAAGAATGATTAACATTTTAACAGAAAAATACCGCAAGTTAATGCATGTGAAAAACTCAGAAAGTCAAAGGAAAACAAACACAAAACAACATTTAAAACATCCCATAAACCATCGCGATATTAAAACACCACAGAATCGCCACCAGGGGCTCACACGGTGTGCTCTGAACAAGAGTGGGTGGTGCTGACAGGGTGCGGTCCTTCGCTGGCAGGTGGCATCACCCCATACAAGGAAGATTCGCATTCTTTATATATAGAGAGTTCTGTTCTGAGGGTAAGCGCTTCATCGGGGTTAAGGGGCCATTAACAGTCTCTGCTGGGTTAGGAAAATGGCGTGGGAGTCACAAAGGTGTTAGCTGTAAACGGTATCACTGTCCACTTGCTGAGAGCAGATTTGGCAAAGGGTGTCCTCTGTAGGTCTTGTGTCAGTTTGCGGGTCTACGGGAGGAGAAAAGAAAACCAGAAATGATTAAGGACGTTCAAATGGCAAGCGTGGGCAATTTAGGGTCCCATTTCATCAGCCTCCCATTTCTTAACCCCACCCCTGAGTCAAGGGTGCTCGTGGTAAACGTGTTTGCTACACCAGCTTCAAAGGTCTCAAAGCCTTTGGACAAAGCATGGG